AGAGAGAGAGAGACTCACACAATATTTAGTCTTACCCTCTCATTCCCTTAATTTCTTCTTTAGATGGCCTGTGTCTTTCTCACAGGATTCATCTCTCTTGATTCCTTGATCTAGATAAGCTTGTTTTCTCTCTCCTTCTTTCCCAATTTTCCTCTATTGGAAGGGAGCGAATAAAACAAATAAATCAGAAAAATAAAAGAAAATAAGAAAGGTTAGATATTATACAATCAGAAAAATAAAATAAAATAATAAAGGGCCTTTTCTTAGGATGTGCAAGGGAGTCCACCTAAAAAAAATATTTTCACAAATTCAAAATGAAGTCTCTCTCTCCAATGGTTGAAAAGAACCCCAAATTTCAATTTTACCTCTCAAATTTCTAAGGAAAAAAAAAAAAAAAAAGGGCTTTATAGAAAGAAAATTAATCATAATCGATTCTTTTTTCAACTATTTGGCGTTAGCTATATAAATTTTGGTCTATGATTCTGCTCTATCAAAGACTGTACTCACCGTAGTCTTAATGAAGTAATAAGTCCTCATATCTTTTTGCACTACTTGCAATCATGTCTTTTGGGCCCTAACCTTTCGTACTTCCAACCAAACCATGTCTTTTTTGCCTTACCCCTTTGTACTTCCAACCATGTCTTTTTTGCCCAATCCCTTCATCAATTTTTAGCTTTCCACTTGAACTAACTCTCACTTTTTGTCTTTTTGGCCCTATCCCTTCGTCAACTTTTAGCTTTCCACTTGAACTAACGCTCACTTTTTATTATTGTACTACGTATGGTTGTTTCACTTAAGTCTACTTTTATCTCATGTTATTGCTTATTGGAGCCATACATAAGTTATCCCTAATGCATTCATTTCACAAATTCTATCCTTTTTTCTCTTGACACTCATCTATCTCAACATCCTCATCTCAGCTACACTTATCTTATGGGTTGTTTTTTTACGGCCTAACATTATGCCCATAACGCAAAGCTAGTGTTTTCGCCCTCACAACTATACTATAAAACTTCCCTTTCAGCTTGATGGTATGCAACATCACATAAAACTTTGTTTGCATATCTCGTCTTCGCCCACCCAACTCTAATTCTCTGTGCAACATCTTGCTCAATCTCTTATTTTCTTGGATTATTGACTCAAAATATCGAAAGTGTGCTTTTTTGGGTATCTCTTGGCCATCAATCTTAATTACTTCGTCTTTGCGTTTATTATTACTAAACTTGCATTCCATTTACTCTGTCTTAGTCCAATTAATTTTAAAACCTTTAGATTTTAAAGCATCCTCCAAAATTGTGTGTTTATGCTGCTTCGGGTCTCATCGATAAAAATTATGTCGTCTGCAAACAACATACACCACAATACCTCTTTTTATAGGTGCCTAGTTAAGTCGTCCATAACTAGGATAAAGAGGTATAGGCTCAACGTTGCCCCTGATGTAGACCTATTGTCACTTGAAACTCACTAGTCTATCCACTAGTTGTTCGCACACTAGTTAGTGCTCCCTCATACATATTTCTTACCAAGTTAATAAGGTATCTGAAGACTCCTTTCTTTTTCAACACCTAGTAAATTAGTCTTGAGATACTTTATCATAAAATCTCGAGATCCCCTATAGGAAAGTAGAAATCCAAAATATCCTCAAACCTAAAATCGAGAAATTAGTAACATAACAAATTAAAAACCCAATCTCCCAAGGTTGAGAGAATCTCGACCTCGAGCTTGTTGAATTCATCATATTCTTTAGAGGCCTTCTTGAAAATTGGTGATGAAGTCCAATCATTTTTATCTTCTTCAGTGAACTAATTAATTAGACACTTAGTGTACAACTTGTAGTGGAATTATGGAATACCAAACTTTGGAATAGCAATTTAATATTGACTTCTCCTTCGAAGCTCAAAGGGGAGTATTTCATGTGCTTGTCTTCTTCTTCTTCACAATTGATTTCAAAATTTGTTACATTTTTGGGTTGTTTTCAACCTATTTTGCAATGTTTAGTGCTTTTCATATCCAAATATTCAAGTAGTTTCTTTATTTGATCTTGAAGATTAAGATTTCCTGCCAGATCTACGTGGTTGCACGCGCCCTCTTCTTGATGAGCCACATTTCTAACAATTGCAATTGTTGATTTATTTTCATTGATCTCGTCTCGAATTCCATGTATCTCACCTTGAATATATATCATGGCTTGATTTATGCTCTCTTTAATCTGTTGATACGTGCTCTCTTTCATTTGTTGATACGTGCTCTTTTTCATTTGTTGATTCACAAGCTCTATGGCTTGTGGCAATACTTCCTCAATTGCAAGAGCGGTTTTAGTGGCATTGTGATTGATGAAATTACTGGCTATGATACCAATTGATGCAAGGAAAATGGGGAATAAATAGAAAGAAATAATAAAGGTTGAGAGATTATACAATCAGTTAGGGTTTGCATGGGAGTTCACCCCAAAAAAAATATTTTCACAGGATTCAAAATATATTTTTCTTCTCTTTTTTTTCTTGATCCAATATTTACATATTTATGCAAGCAATGAACTCTAAATCCTAACTTGCTCCTTAAGAATTTCTAATTAATATTAGATATTCTAATTTTGCCTCTTAAATCTCTAGAACTAAAAAAACACAAGTACCCCTAAAGGAAACTAGAAATCCAAAATAATCCCAAACCTAAAAACACAGTAACACAAAATTAAAAAAAGCCATTATATCACCTCCTCTCTCTCAGTCTTCCAAAATAGGCCTTGGTATGTCAAAATGATTACATTTTTGCAATCTTTCTCTCTCTAACATACAAAGATCATGATGACGTTTTCCTCTCTATCTAAAAGTGATTTGAGAGAGAGAGAGAGAGAGAGAGAGAGAGAGAGAGAGAGAGAGAGAGAGAGAGAGTAGTAGGTAGGTAGGTAGTTAGTTTACGTTTAGTTACGTACGTACGTACGTACGTACGGTACGTAGTAGTAGTACGTAGTAGTTAGTTTAGGTTTTAGGTTTAGGTTTAGGTTAGTTAGGTA